GATGATGAAAGTTTATATGTTCTCCTCTCAAAGGCATTGGTGATGGATTCGTTAGCAAGTTTAACTTCACTAGGAGCAGCAGAAAAGATAAATAACCAACTTTCTTACCGGTCATATGATTAGTAGCCCCTGAATCCATGATCCAAGATGTAGAATAGGTAGAGCATTGGGAGCATGATTTTTAGTTGCATATGTACTCCACCAGTGTTTTAGAGCTGAGTGAAGCTTAAAGAGTAGTCAACTGGTGTTGTAAATCTTTGATGGCATTATCTCTTGGACTAGATTGATTGGGTTGTGCGGCTGGGGTTTCCTCCCCTTCACTCCATACAGTATGGGCACATGCATTCCTTCGTTTTAGTCTCAAGTGTGGATGCAAGTCCCAACAATGCTTTCGGGTGCGTCTCGTCTTACCACCATAGGAGCATTTGAGTTTCTCCTTTTTGGCGGGAGATAATGGAGCATGATTTGGTCCTTTCATATCCACTATTTCGTAAGCTTGTTGCAAAGACTGATCGTTCACGATGGATGCTTAAGTTTTGTTCTGCAATAGCCTTTCTACTGGTCTCCCCTCTTACATAATTATAAACAAATTCAAGAGAGGGCATTTTGTCCTTTTCTAAAACTTGTACTCTATGAAGTTCAAAGTCAAGATGTAGGCTTGCTAAGAACTCAAAGATCCTTCTTTGCTCAGCTTGTTTTTTAATGTCATTAACTATGGGATTAATAGGCTGATAGGGGTCTAGTTCTCCCCACTTTTGCTGTAGTATCCTAAAGTACTCTTCCACAGTCATTTCCCTTTGCTGCAAATTCATTATTTCACTATGCAATTTGTAAATCCTAGCCATATCATCTTGTTGGAAGTATGTCTTGGCTACTGCCTTCCATATATCCTTTAGTCTTAAGAAACAACAATCCCCTGCTAATACCTGTCTGCATAGAATGAAGAAGCCATGCCATTACTATCTAGTTCTCACTTTCCCCTTCATCATGGGTGGACCATTTGTGGGAGGCTCTTTCACTTTTCTTGTGATATAACTTATTTTCCTTTAGCTTCCTATGAATGTTTTTGTAGATTGGGACCATTCTAAGTAGTTTGTTCCATCTAGCTTAACTATAGTGATCATCAATCCTGGGTGGTCATATTATTGTGCTTGATTTCTGACGATTTCCTTCTCTCTTGAACTTGAAAGCCTAGGGTTTGGACAAGAAAGCTATGGAATATGTATGAAATATACTTGTGTAGTCAGAGACTAGCTTTTTATCATTTTTTTGGCTGGAAATGGAAATAGTTTAGGATAAAAGTTATTTTCAGCAAAGTAAAGTGAGATAATCTTACTTGTAATATGAGGTTGCTGATACGCCTCAACCTCAAGACTAAGAAGGAAGCGAAGTCATGGTTCTAGGACTGCTGTAAGTAATGGATATCCTAGGGTTTCAATCCATGCTCTGATTCCATGTTAAGTTTGAGAGAGAAGAGAGAGATAGAGAGTAATATTCATGCACAAGATAAAATAAAAACTTATGTTTTTCACACTCTACAAATTGTAGGGTAATGTGCCCTATATGTACACAGATTCTGTAGGGGCTATAGTTTGGGTAGGTCAACATGCAAAATAATTACAACCATTACATTAGGAATTACCATGACTGTTGCAGCAGGTTCTAATGGGCATGAGGTCCATTGTTCATAGGAGTTGCATGTTTTGATGGGTGTGGGCCCATAAAACCATAACAACCACTACATGAGGCCCATTATGCATGGGAATTACTGCTGTTACACAAGTTTGAATGGGCATGAGACCATAACAGTTGCTACATGTGCTGTAAATTTCTCAATTAATCAAACAAACATGAAATATCTAATTTCAGCAAGGTTAAGTGCCAATTACATGAACTACAGTTCATCCTTGGAGTTTCATAACGAAATCTAGGAATATAATCTCGCATCAAGTACAAGCGTGTACAACAAGCCCCAAAGACTTGAGGGATCATGGAGGGCTGAATACTCTAAAGAACAATGGCTACACATCTCACTCATCATTATTTGATGCCAAGTCCTCCCATCGTTGTTTCCCGTGGGACTGGGATTAGGGGATCATTGCTTTCTAGGAGTTACCTAATTTGTGGGCTCCATGAGAGCCATATACAGTAAATGTATACAATTAGGAAAATTTTCAAAAATAAAGATTAATAGCATTTTTTTTTGAAAATATTTAGATGCAAAATTAACATATGAGAGATGTTTCTAATTATATTTAGTAGTGCTTCAAAAACAAGAACTGGTTGCCAACTTGGTCACTTGGTGACTGGAGTTAGAGCGCTGATTCCTTAGTCGGCTTTCTGATTCCATGCGGGCCGGCTCAAAATAAGAGAAAAATAGATATGCTTATTTTGTTTCTTAAATCTATTTATTTAAATGTTAAATAAAAATCAACTTTTAAACATTTGAATTGCTGGTTGAAGTCATTGAAATTGAATCATTGGTTTTTCACAATGATTCAAATTGAATCATTGAAATTACATAGCTGAAATCGAAATACTGGTTTTCCCTAGTGATTTAAAAATCAACACCCATATCAAGAAAAAGAAAGTCCATCCACGTCCTCTGAAATTTAATTGAAAAGTTAAATAAAAATATTGAATCAGCTTATCTCTTAGTATGCATCAGAAGGGCATCCCATATTTCTTTAGCCATTCTCAGCGACATCATACTGTCATGTATTTCAGGTTCTCTGGAGTTAGCAATGACATGGCTATTGCACCATTCACTCTTCGTTCACTGAATTTCAAATATGTAGTACTAGGGGTCTTTGGTTTTCCATCTACATGACGTATTGTCTATCACTCTAATAAGTCAATTTGCGCAAGCTATGCTCAGGATAGGTAATTCCTTCCATTCAATTAATAGTTGTAATTTGCATACTTGGGTTACTAAGAAGTAAATGACTGACCATGAGATGCTTCTTTATATATATATATATATATATATATATATGAGTTATGTTAGGGTATTCACACGAAGGAGTAATTTATTATTGTATTCAATAAATCTTGGACACTTCTATACCCTTGTTTAGTAAGGGTATTTTTGGTCATTAGGAGAGGTGTGATGTCCTCTACATGGGGTGTGACATCACCCACATGGAGCACATTAGTGGCATTTAATACTCAATGTGGGTGATGTCACGCCCCATGTAGATGACATCACACTCTTCCTAATGACTAAATAAGACCCTTATTAAAAAAAGCATCATGTACAAAACAAGGGTATATAAGTGTCCAAATTTCTTGAGTGCAATAATAAATTACTCCATAGTATGAGCACCCTAACATAATCCTATATATGTGTGTGTGTGTGTTCGCGCGTCCGTCCGTCTCAACTGTTCGATGATCGAATGGTTGAGAGTTTGTTTCAATGCATGAAATTTAAGTTTTTTGTTACAAACTTTTTGGATCTGAAATTTGGAGGGTAGGTGTGCCTCACCCTCGCACACCCAGCAAAAAATAAGTAAAATATTCGCATAAGAAAATCACCAGAATACCCCTGTAATATTACAAGGATATTTTTGTCATTTTATTTTATGTGATATATATTTTCCTATTTACATTCGGTGTGTGGTCATGAGAGGAACGCAAGCCCCAAAATTTCAGATGATTCCGATTCATAAAAAATAAAAATAAAAATCATTTACTATCCCATAGCTCAAATCATCCAAATTTGATCGAATGGTTGGAGGCTATGAGCAAGTACTGTAGCACTTCTCTCATGGTTGTTTGTGTCACCCTATGTATGGGAAATTTTTGCAAATACCCTTTTCTTTGCAGTATTTAAAAAAAGTTCCATATATTTTGGATTTATGCTCATGCCCCTTGGATGGAACCATTGGTGCATTTCTCAAGTCCAAATTTGATTCTGTACATGTGTATCAATCTCTAAAAAATTTGCTGGTTAGGTAGGGCAGCAGTAAAAATTGCACACAAACCCAATACTCTTTTGATCTCAAACTTAATGAGGGTGCTGGAATGCTGGAACTGAACTAGATCCAGTAGTGGTTTGACGTGATTGACATTTAGACAAGTTGTATTCTTCAAAAACCCTATAAAAAGGTGAAAACCGTTATTTTCTTAAAAAACCGTAGATATCAAAGCCCTTCAATATGTATGTAGAAAAGCTCAGCTCAACATGGTGATGCAAAGCCCTCAATACTTTATAAGGTTTGAACTTGTTTGAGCAGGTGACATTGAGAGTCTGGAGTGATGATGTTAGTTCTGGATTTTGCCAAAAAATGAAATTTATTGTTGAAGGCTTGCGCATTTGAAGATTGAACAAGTCGCTCCTTCTTGAATGGATAAACCCAAGAAAGATGGCCCGATTTACTCACCTGATGCATAGATCTGAGAAATAAGATATGTATTTAAGGAAGCAGAAGCTAAAGAGGGTAAGATCACTAGCTTGATGTCATGTTATAATGGATTATTTGATGAGGAAGGGTTGAATTGGTGCTGGTTGCACAATAAAGTTGAAGGGAAGAAACACGACAAGACAAGAAAAGGAATGAAAGAACTACGACTTCACCACCATGCATATACTTTACATTTGTAGCATTTATAAAAACTACCCTAGAACTCTTCCAGTCCTTATATGAGTTGTAGATACATATAACATAAGCATGGTATAATTTTACATAAAGGATAAATGTGCCTTTACGGGTCACATTTGTTTATGTAGCACATTATTCTTATTTTATTATTCTTTCTTTCCTTATTCTTTGTGCATACTTGTTCATTTTGTATCCTTCTTTATCCGAATTTGTTTCTTATGTGCATCTTTCATTGTGGCAGTGATTTAATTTGGTTTTTGAGAAAATGGATACATTCTACTCTGGGACATGCGGCTTCATCTTTGTTAAGAAGCATTAAAATTGTTTTTACAATGTCTTTTCATGGTGCATTGAAGCTTATGACTGAAAGCATGCCTTGCTCGTACTTTATGTTAACAGGTTGGTGATCAGAGAAGAGGGTACCTTCTGGAACTTATGTTGACAAAGTTACGGTATGCTGCGGGTGAAGGTTATTCAGAAGCATCAAGTGGCGATAGCTCTAGTACAAGCAGTGGAAAAACTGATCCTGCGCATGGTTTGCAAATCATTGGAATGAGTGCAACTATGCCTAATGTTGCAGCTATTGCTGATTGGCTTCAGGCAGGTTAACTTATATTTGGTGTTAACTTTTCAGGAATCCATTAAAGAATTTACACTTTTTGTTTTTTTAACTATTACTTTTTCGTTTAATCTGTCTTCGTTGCGGATTGATTAAATGAAGAGTTGATTCTTTCAAACATTTATGACCTCTACTTTCCCTAACGAACCAGCACAAGGGAGTTGGATTCAAGCATTTAGGAAATGCAGCTGATGTTTGCCTACAAGGAAGACAACCTCCTTATAAAATTTCACTTATGGTGACAGTTAACTGCTAGCTTCTTTCGAACAAACATTCCCTCAATATACTTAACATGGCAAGAGAGTTAACTAGGAGGCTTTGTGCTTTACAGTGTAGACCTATTTGCAGCCAACCAACTTCTTCCCTTTGAGAGGGTCTACCAGTTTTCAATTACTATAATTAAATAATTATCCTCATCGCCTCACACATAGCCTTCTTCTACATGGGATAAGCAAAAACTTCTATGACACTCGAAGGAATAGAAACAAAAGATAAAGAGGACACAAAGGCACGATAGGAAGGAGAGGACTCATAAGAAACTATTAGAAGGGGGGGAAGAGAAAGATGAAGAGAAAAGAGGAAGAGAAAAGAGGAAGAGGAAGGGACAGTGATGTGAGAGTCGAAATTGGTTTCACGTAATGAGAGTGAAGAAGGAGGACACACAATACCTGAACCATTTGCTACAGTGTCAGTAGTAGTGCTATCAGGTTTACTAAGAGACGAGAACATATACCTTAGTTTTAGTGTCAAACTGAGTATGGATCTTCTTATTGAAAGGTGTGGCCATGTGGAACTCAAGGTATTAAATTCAACATTTTTCTTTTACTTTTATTCTAAATACTTATATTCCACTTACATGGGTCACAATATGTTGCTGTAAAATTAAAACAGTACCCTAGATACAACCTAGGATCTTTATTTTCACTGCTAAGAGAAATAGAAGCTATCTAGGAACTTTAAACTAACTCCCATTATAATTTTAGCACAAAATAAGTTCCTGAAAATTTACAGAAAATAGGAAATAATAATGTAAATTAATTTAAAACTACTGGGAAGACTTATTGAAAGATGCATGGAGTTACCTTACTAGGACTTGGTACACCTCACACTCGATTCCCTGATCAATGACACACTTTTACTCCTTAAGGTGTTGCTGGAAATTCTGAGATAGGGAAGCTATGTAGGCAATAGTTATTTTCCTAGGGTTTTAGAGAGTTAAAAAATAAATTAGAGTTTATAGAAATCCTATGGGAACAACAAACCCTTGCTCTAGGGTTTCTCTATAGAGCCACCTGTATTTTTTTTAAAAATAAAATATAGAGGAGAGAGAGGGTGGCTTGCCTCCCTTTGGTTAGAGAGAGGGTGGCATGAAAATTATGGGAGAGAGAATTTGGGAGTGAGAGAAAGAGAGGGAGGGTGGCGTGAAAATTATGGGAGAGAGCATTTGGGAGTGAGTGAAAGAGAGGGAGGATCTATTGTCGTGGGAGAGAGAGAAAGATCTTGTAATGAGAGAGGGTTCAAACTAGATCTTTATATAGAAAAATATCTATCTCCTAGTTTGAATAAGATTCTTTCTGAGTATTGCCTTATCCAGTTTCCAGCTAGACCTTTAGGATAAATATGAAATCTGTGGGGTGAGAGAGATTTAATCCAAGCCTTCCATCTCAATAATCAGCCATCATGATTTTGGGTGGAAAGATAGGAACCTTATCCCTTTATACTTTGACCCAAGTCCAACTCCTATTTGAAATTGAAATATAATCAATCCTTATCATTTTCTAGATCTCCCATTTAAATTTGAAATATAATCAAGCTTAAACATTATCTAGATCTCTAGATCTCCCATAAGGATATGAAACCAAATCTAATTTAAATTAGATTTCCTATTCTTAACTTATTTTAAATTTTAAATCAAAATATTAAGAAAGTGGGGCGTGCCCCTTTTTATCCTAAAGTAATGGCGTGCCCCCCCTTTTCAATAAAAGGTGGCGTGCAAAAAATAAGTTTAAAAAAAAAATTGAACTAATCTTTCTTTTAAAAGGAGGTGGGGCGTGCCCCCCCCCCCCGCCCCCCTTATCCCCAAAAAGAGTGCCACTTTTTGTCTAAAAAAAATATTTTGGGAGTGGCCCTAGGGTGGCATGTGGTCCCCACATCAAAAAGACACATACATGTGGGGCTGTGTCCTTGCTCCTACATGTTTTTGAAAGTTTTGAAATTTCAGAAATACTCCATTAATAAAAATTAGTGGAGAAAAAATATTTTAAAATTCTGAAAAATATTTAAAAATTATAGAAACATTTATAATATTGAAATAAAATAAACTAGGAGTGGGCTATACCAATGGGTGAAAATTAGCGACAATAAGGGCACTTCACTCACCCCAGAAACCATGATCCACTATTGTTCTCTTATCCAACCAAACAAAATTCCCTTGACCCACTATCTCAAAGCAGGAGCTCATGATGGACTTGTCAAAGTTGGATAATAAATAGTGGGACCATGATCCTGGAATGTGGATTTCAGTTCCCACATTTAAGAGCAAGTCTAACACTTGTCACCACAATGCAAAATGGGGCTTTCTTTATGCACATGTACATGTCCCTCTATAGTGCTGCTTCCCAGTAATGCGGTTGTCATGTGTACTTGCCGTGCGGAAGTTTGTTAAGGTTTTGACCATTACTCTCACATGCCTACAACTGCACATAAGAGACCACATAGTTCGTCTGACTTATAAACATGATCCTTAGGCATCTCTCTGACCTCAACAAAGGTGACCCATTGTATAGCCTTCTCGGTAGTGCCACATGCCCAAGGCCAAGGGTTTTGGATATGACTAGGGCCATAAACTGCCCAACCCTTAATCAGTCAACACACACTCATTGAAGTGCATATGCCACTATATATATCATTTTTACCAGCTCTCTAGTCCTTTAAAGGCCACAAAACCCAACACTTATGAAAGTTATTAAAGATTTTTGGGACTTTGTCTTTGGTCTTAATAAGATAGATCCATGTACATTGGGAGAAATCATCTTTAAAAGAAGAAAAATTCTGATAACCAAAAATAGAAGTCATAAGAGATGGACCCTACACATTAAAATGAGCATTAGCAGAAGGAACAATACTTTTATTATTATTGGATAAAAAATAGTGTCTACAATATTTTAAAAGTTCATAAACTGCACATTGGAACTCTAACACACTTGTAGAAGTAAACAACTTAGGAAAAATATTTTTCAATGACTGAAAAGACAAATGATGAAGTCAAAGATGCCACTGCCAAATCCGATCTTTATTAATATTAGTATTGGACTGTAGAGCTTGAGAAGTAGTAGGCGGGTCATGGATGTCGAGGTCACCAACTTCATGAGCACTGCCAATCGTCTTCCTCGTATCTAGGTCTTGAAAAACTCAATGGAAAGAAAAAAAGGTTGTATTATAATTTAGACTCTTGGTAATGCTACTAGCAGACATTGTGTTTATAACAAAGTTAGGAACATGAAGAACAAATGATAGGGACAATTGAGGTGAAATATTTACAGTTCCTTTGCCAGCAATAGAAGAGAAAGAACAATGAATTTTAACTCTCTACCAGAACAAAGGAGAATAAGATGAAAACAAAGGGGACATACCAGTCATATGATTTGAAGCGCCAAATCAATGATCCATGATAGTCCCAAAGGTTAAAGGGAAACATGGTTTGCAGATACATGAATACCTGAGGTGGCAAAGGATGATGTGGAGGTAGTAGGTAGGCCATCTAATTGTGCAAACAACCTGCGAAGGCTCTCAATTTCCTCCTTAGAGATTGATATCATCTCCCTCTAGATAGAAGGCGAGGGTGTAGCTGCATTGGGTTACACCTGTTTTGCATCAACAGTTGCTGAACCACCAGTGGATGAAGCATTATGTGCATTGAATTGTCCAAGACGATTAACTTTTCGGTCAACCAACTAAATTCCAACAATTCTCGTTGACATGGCCGGTCCTACCACAATGATCACACGTGAGCTTACTTTTAACTCCTCTATTGAGACTACCTACTCTAAATTTTTGTGATCCACTCCCCTTATTGTTCGTAGGAGGCAATGAAGCACAGACAAGAGCAGAACAATCCATTGGTTGTGTAAGTGGCATCGTAGTTATCGGGAGCTGGAGCAGGAACAGCTCTGGTTTCGGGAGCGGGAGCGTTAGATCGACGACTGCCCAATGCTTCAAAGCTTGGGGAGAGAGTTCCGGTGAGGGTAAAAGTAGTGGATCGAGATTCCGTATGAACAGGGAGCACGTTCCCAATATATTGGGATCTAGATCCTTATTTAACTGGTACGCGTTCCATGTCAAATGGGATCGTGTTCCCATATTCAGTAGGATTGCGCTCCCATCGACAACAGGATCGCACCCCCATCTAAGCATGATCGCGTTCCTATTTTGAAAGGATCGAGCTCCATTCAAGGAAGGATCGCGTTCCGTGCATGATTAGTTTCTGCTCCCATCGCAGAACTCTACTTGTATGAAAATTTGGCTTAAAATATAATTATTTTATTTTAAAAGTTAATTTTATTTAAGAAGTTTCGTTTAGGAAGTTTTAGGAACATAGGGATGGCGTTCCGGGAATGTAGGGATCGCGCTCCTAAAATTCAGGGCACGGGGATCTAATATATTCTGGAACGAGATCTACAATTTTAAGGAATGTGTTTGTGCAACAGTGGGAATGGGATCCTTTGTGTAAGCGATCAAGAATCCTGTAAATAGGAGCCAACTCCCAAAAAATTTCAAACGAGTTCCAGTCGAGATCCCGGTCATGGCATTCCAAAGCAGGGTTCTGGAGCGGGAATGCACCCTAGTTGGGCGCTCTCGGTAATTATGGGTAGCATGGCACTTTTCCAACTTTCTTCACTCGGGATAAAGGAATATACCTGATTGAGAGATGGAAGAGTATTCCGACTGAGAATTTGAACCCTAGCTAACTCAAACTCGGGGCTCAA